ACACTGGTGATGATCACTTGTTTTGCTTTTTGCCTTCTCTATTTGCACTGGTTTTTTTGCTAACAAAGGCTTCTTCCCAGCCCATTTGTCCTTTTTTGAAGTCTTTTTTCTGGTTCCCCCCCCCCCCAACCTTGTGTTTTTATATTAGCTATAAGTATATTGTCACATGCTTCATGATGAACCATGCAATAGCGTCCTTACATATATCACTAGGCAGACAATTTTGCATATCAATAGCCAAAGGAGCATGGTGATTGGTCCCTTTCCCAGCACATTCCTCTGCTAAAGAGACAGCCTGGTTGTACAGGTGCACCATGTTGTTCCTGCGATTTTCATTGTGAACCAGCATGCAATGGGATGTCAAATAATAAAGTATCACTTCAGCTAGAAATAAAATGAATAATAATAAAAGCAATTATTTAAAACATACACACTCAATACAACTGTCAAATTTTCTACCAAGCTGTAAAATTATAACATTATGAAATTATCTAAATACATGTTACGTTAACAGTTTTGTCATAAGAATGTAAACTATTGTATCCTGGACAAAATATTTGTGGTTTTTACAATATAGGTTTTGAAAAGTCCATAAATTTTAAAATGTTACATTTTCAGAACAATTTTTACCTGTTGGAAAGCCTGTGAGATCCAGATGTCTCATTTTTGTTGGGGATTCTTGCCTCAAACACTCAAGAAAAGTGTGGGCCAAGGAAGTTGTGTAACGCAGGCCTTCAAAAGATATTATTACAATAGTCAATTAGAATGGTCATTCTGCACATAAAATTTTGTGTGTTTGTAAATTTTAATTACAATCTTTTATTTTTTTTATTCCTTCACTAATGGAAATAAAAACAATGGAAATAAGAACAATGAAAATTCTGGTTAGTATCAGTTAAAGTTGTCTGATTTAAAATATAAAATATTTGTAAAACTGCAAACCTTGTCTAACAAGATCTGCCTGGTAAAGAGGTTCATACAGAGGTAAAAGCGAGGAAAAAACACTAGGGACCAATTTTGACAGCACTAGTGACTTAAGGCGCCATCTTGCCATCAGAGCATGGATTGAGCGGTCATGGTTTCCTTTAAGAGCAGCTTCCATCATATGAATGCATAATATTGGAGGCACAGAATCAATGGCTGCACGGGTCAAATTTGCATCCCTGACAATAAACGCACAGCACGAATCTAGTAGAGTAGGGGCCTGCAATACAAATAGTGAATTGCAACAAAGCTTTTCTCAAAAAAGAATTTAATAAATGTTGTAATGGTTGTGAAATAAAATACTACATTAATAGTTTTTTAAATATTATATTTTTTATATACAAAACAATTCAGTCACTACATGCATAGTATATCCACATGTTTTGAGACTGATTTGATCAATAAAATTTAACAATAGAAAAAGGAAGGCTATATGTAAAGTTTTGCATTCAATACATTTAAAACTGCATGGTATTGGTATGCTCCAGTCAAAAATAGGTGGATAGATGTGGAAAAAGATCTACAGCAGCTGAAAGTCCAAGCATGGAAAAGAAAGGCATTAGTTAGGTCTGAGTGGAAGGAAGTGGTGAGGCACATGGATGGATGATGTATATACTTATAATGTTTAAAAAAAATTTCATTGATATTTGAAAATAAAAAGCTAAAAAATTATTCATACAGATGTCCTTGTAGGTCGACAACATGGAGTCCCATCTAAGTCTAGAGGATATACAGCTCCTTTGTAATGGTCATACCACATTGAATGCATTCCTTGCATAGGAGTTGTAGCCATACTGCAAACAAAGTAAAATATTTGATGTGACTTGTCTAATGACTAGTGTATATACAACATTTCTTTTTAAATATTACAAGCTCAGCAGAAGTCCTTTCCTTAGTGCAATCAGATCTTTTGCTAACATGATGATACAAAATAGCATTCTAAATTATGACATTATATTTAGCCTACATTATTGACATTATGCATGATTGAGATAATTATCATAATAATTAAAACAGTATTTAACGGTATTTTTTTAAGAATACTGCTTATATTTTATATAATGTAACAATCAAATATTTGAATTGATTTGTCATCAATATACTATTCATTGTTATAGGCCATGAAGTGGACCAGCCCATTATTTATTATAAAATTTATGTAATGGGATGGGCAGGGCGTTTTTTATAATATTTATATTTTGATTACACACAAATATAAACATGCAGAGCTATGTCTATGTTGAAAAAAAAATTATGTAGCTAACATTCATAATTGCAGTTAATGCTAAAGGGTATAATGTTCCATGTTAACTGTCTATTGGATATATGTCTCTTATAACAGTGTTTGACAGTTTGGTAATATGATAACCAACTGCCTATGTCCTTTTTGTAGCAACAAGGTTTTATCATAATCATATATCATATTTACGTGCCTACAAATAACATAGACAATATTAATATAGTCATAGGCCTACTCAATGCATTTCTAATTCTCTGGAAGATTTGGTATACATGGCAAAGTCTCGTGGAAGACTGATTGCGGAGTTATAGTGTAGAATTTGAAACTCAAACTTTTTTCAGAATTGTGACAGGCTAAGGCAAAAAAATTCAAAGGCAGTGAAGATCCTCTCATAGTCATAGTTAGTCATAGTCAGCTAAGTTGACTATGCAAATCTGAACAATTTGAATCTAAGTGAGTAAGCAATGGGTAGGCCTAGTTAAGACTTTTTTAAATAATAATTTAACTAGCCTTTTTGGCCTAGTAGTTACTAAAAACATAGACTAGTCAAAAACTTACTTAGACTTAGACTACTTACTTTTTCGAATTTAGGCAGGAATATAATATAATTTATATATATAAGTCCTCTGTTACCACTTAAAATTAACTTTACCAGCCTACACCCGGAGGCCTAGGGTTATGAGTTTTTTTTATTAATGAATGAAGAATATTAAGCTGATACGAGTGAGAGGCTTAGGCCTAGGCCGTTAGGCCCTAATCATCTTCATACTTCAAAATTGGTATCACTACCATTGACCATTGGCGGCATTGAATAAATAAATATGTTCTATCATAACTAAAATAAATACAAAAATCATACTAACTATAATAAAGTCTATGAGTCTAATTGTTCTAAATCAGAAGAACTTCAATCCATTTTCATTTAAATAATTTAATGATATAATTGTAATAGTCTAATCTTTACAAATCATTTGTTTACGGCTCACACTTAAAATCTAACTTCTATGAGTAGTACTATTACTACGTAACTACTAGTACAAGTAGGACGACCCAAGCTGGCCAAACTCTACAGCTGAAATTAAGTCTTTGATTAGTAAAATAATTAGTAAACCCTATTTTTTGAAAAAGAGCGCATCAAGTCTCAATGGGCTTCAGTTTCGTCGCTGACAACATCTTATCTTATGTCCCGTAAAAACAATGCACACATCATACATCTTCTTAAACTAGACCACTAGACCTAAACCTAAATAAAACCTTTGAGTTAGAGTGGCTCCGTGTTTTAAAACAAATGCTTTTCTAGACTTACGACAAAAATTATAGCTGAAACTTAACAATTTTTCTAAATAGCTTAATAGGCCTATTTAAAAATTGTATTAGACCATAGCGTATAGAAGGCTTATTAAAAGTAATGCCGAAATAGAGTAGTTTTTTTTTTTTTTTAATGTTCGTGGTATGTTCTGAAAAGTTAAGAGATTGCTCAGGCTAAGATTTGCGGAGCATCAGTCTCATAGTTGAGAAAAAATGGCGACGCCCTTAAACAAGGTTTATGGAGTCATGAAAGTTGTTTTGTATGTACGAAAAACATGTCCACTTCAGTTTGCGTCACGGTTAAATCCATGGTAAGCCATCATATTCTAATACTAATTCATTACATTGCAAGCCCTGATCTAGAGCTCCACTGGGACGCAGAAAAGCTAGAGGGCATCTTTTACTTTATAATGTCTAACTATCGTCCATGTCCATGTTGTTGTTTTGACAGTTTTGATCAATATGAAGACAAAAGAAGTTAAAAGTTAGGTACCACGAGTTTGTAAGACAAAATGAGGTATCAAATGAAAGATAATTGAATGGGCTATATGTTTGTGAACCTAATTCTTCAGTTTAATTAAATAAACTATGGGAAGCGTTATACACAGTCGGCTGCGCATAACCCTGAGAGTTATACGCAGTCGACTGCGTATAACTCTCAGGGTTATACTTAGTTGGCTAGGAATTTTGCCAAATAAGGTTTATCAATCGCTTGTTTGGCAATTTTTTAAAAAGTATTATGCGTAATTAGCTGCATGATGGGTTGTTTTGAACTAGAACTTTTTATGTGTTTAACGTAAAATTTTAATTGAATTAATTTTAATTAATATTGAAATTGATGATAGCAATTAGTATTAGTGTTAGTGCTATTATTAGTATTATTGCTTGTATCTTATATATTATAAGTATAAGTAGGTATTTTAAAAGACGCACGCGCATCCCTTCTGCGCAGTCGAAAAATCACGGAAAAACTTGAGCTGCAATATAGCTATATGGCATAGCGAGGGTGTCGTTTTTTTGCGTTGTACGCCACTGTTTCCTAATAATAGTATTTAAATTATCGGTGACGTAGAGCACATATTTTTCCAAACATGTGAATACCATATTTGCAGCATTTAGAATCTTGTGACCGGTAACGCATTTAATTTTTCATCGGTATGCACGTTAATTGCTTATTACTTTTTAATGTAAAACTCAAACACATAGTGGTTTAGCTCAATACTGCTTCATTCATTCACACAGTTTAATAACTTTACTTCATTAAAATTAGCCCAAACGCACAAAAGTTATGCCGATCCAACTGGAAGGTGTAAGAAAATAAAATTGTTAGTAGTCACCCGAGTCATCCCCCCTCACAAAAAAAAGTGGGTTGTCGGAAATGGTTGTTATTACCAATTTAACTTAAAGATATTTTCATTTATNAATGTATCGTGATCGTGTGAAATTCGGGAAAGAGAATTACTTTTATTTCAGATTATGATCCGGTGAGTCACAAAATCTGGCAAATTCCGAAATCCGGTATATTCCGGATTCCGGAATCCGGTTGTTCCGGATACATGTAAATCCGGCGGAACCGGATTTCACCGGATAGTGCAAAATCCGGCGGAACCGGATTCCGGACCGGGGTCCGGCACACCCCTAATGATAAATGCAGCATTCTCAAAAAAAGCATGAAGGCAATGTAGTTTAATTATTCTGATTAATCCTTGCAAGCATAAATTTAATAGTTGATATTTAGTTTAACACAATTATTTAAGCTGATAGTATTTTTCGGCATCGGAAGTGGCAAAATAATGGCAATATTAATGCAGTGGTTTACAAAGTTTTTTCGTGGCCTGTTTTTTAAAATGGGAAGCGTTATACGCAGTCGGCTGCGCATAACCCTGAGAGTTATACGCAGTCGACCGCGCATAACCCTGAGGGTTATTCACAGCCGACTGCGTATAACTCTCAGGGTTATACGCAGTCGGCTAGGAATTTAGCCAAATAAGGTTATCAATTGCTTGTTTGGCAATTTAAAAAAAAAAGTATTATGCGTAATTAGCTGCATTACGGGTTGTTTTGAACTATAACTTTTAAAGTGTTAAAATTGAATTAATTTTAATTAATATTGAAATTGATGATAGCAATAGTATTAGTATTAGTGCTATTATTAGTATTATTGCTTGTATCTTATATATTATAAGTATAAGTCAAAGTCTACATTTCTTAGAGTCTAAGCCTAAGATTTTTTAAAAGGCATTTCCATGGTCTAAGTCTAGTTATGTATTTTGATTGATTAGATTTTTATATGTTGCTATTACCATGTGGTTAGTTTTACTGACTAATTCAGGAAATACATTCTATTTATTTAAAAAAATTTTTTTATGATTTATGATTTTTTTTTTTTTGATGACCTAAATGTAACAGTTTTCAGCTTCCATGCAAAACTATAACTGTGTGAAAGTATTACTTACAGTGCCCCCTCTACAGAACCCCTGCCCCTACAGCGATTTTTTTACTGCTACTCTCAACCCATGATTATATTTATTGCTGTACCAGAGAAACATGATTTTATCTGCCACAAAATTAGTTAACAACACAAAATATATGTTAACAACACAAAAATATATTTGATAATTATAAGAATAACATTATTAACATTACATTGGTCAAGTTAATAATTCTTCTCATGTTTTAACATTTTTTAGCCAAAAGAAAAGTAAAACAATAAGCCTAGTCGATTTTGCTTCATCCTCGAAAACAAACATAGCAACTCAAGACCACCATCTTGAGGTTTGGTCAGTTTGTACCATTCGACCACCCAGTCACCCCAATAACGAGGCACCCTTATTGATTGATACTGTAACACAGGAAGAATATAGACGTCACGTGACTTGCCGACTGCGTATAACTCTCAGGGTTATACGCAGTCGGCTGCGCATAACCACTTCGATAAACTATTTGAGTTCCTGTCATCCATAAATAAAATAGATTTTACATTTTGGAAATAAATAAATATTCTGAATGTATTGGGCATTGGGGTACCAACAATAATATTTTGTATTCAACTTGAAGGACCATTTCAAAACAGAACAGTCACATGGAAAAAAGTGGCTTTGCGGCTGAGCTTGTACAGTTTTTACATAAAAGAAAAGAAATTTTTTTTTTGCAAATATGTCTAATAAATTTGCTGAGTTGAAGTGGTTTGGGCAGCCGTTTGAAGCGTTTATAAAGATTTCAAAACACTGGCAAAGTTCTGCCTCACTATATCTTGATGCGTCGGGACGGATCGCCTCTACTTGCGGAAGGGTGAGGAAATGTTCAATGTCAATGTTGACTGTCTGTTGTCTTCATGAGACAGTGAGTTAATTGGATATTTATATTTAAATGCCACACTTGATGCCATTGATGCCAAGTCAAAAATGTTGAAAAACACCCTCGCCATTTGGGCCCTGGCAAATATCCCTCCTTTGATTTTGTTGTTATAGAGCACAATCTCTGATTTCTTGCAATCGGTTTCACTTTCTATGTGTGGACGATTGTGTATTGTGTTCAGGTGCAATACACTTTTCTGCTTCGAGCTCTGGTATTTGACAAGGTTGTTTCTTATCTGAACAAAACCACAGATTTGTTGAGGGGCAGAGCCTTCTTTTGCTCGAATCCCTTGGGTAGGAACATCTTGTTCCATTTCACTGTTCCAACTAGTGTGAGTTTGTTCTTGGCCATTGGTTCTGCAAGATGTGGGGGAATGAAATAATGGTCGGTTCTGAAATTGCAGCCACTTCCATGTAAGTCCTTTGTGAGAGATATCACAGTCTCATGGGAAATTCCAAGTCAAGGCACTTGCATTTTGTTTGCCGAGATATGGGCATCCACTCAGAGGATAGTTTGAAGTTGATTCACAGTCACAGGCCCAGATTTGTATTCCATATTTGTCGGGCTTGCTTGGCATATATGGAATAAATCTGCACTGACATCTGAAACCAACCAGTTGCTCATCTACTGCTATGTTCTCTCCAGGAAGATAATACATCGCCAAATGACTCAGGAATGCTCCTAATACTAATACATATCTTATTATTGGATCAAAGATGTCACGAGCTAGAAAGGATTGATCTAGTATCATCGTTGTGAACACAAGTATGAATGAGAAGTTTGCTGAATCTCATCATTGAGCATGTACCCTAAAAATAGGATTTCCATCAACATGGCTGAATAAAAAGTTGACTGAAATGCTGCTGAGATGAAGATAGCCAGTGTGTGGTAGTAGTTGTAGGCAGCCAATAAAAGCTTTCATTTAGATCGAGTCATTCCTTTGCCTCTCACTTTCTCACCTTCCCTGTTGGTGCAGTCAGCTATTGTTTTTATCATTTTTTCATTAATGTACAGAAGAAATGCTTCAGTGGGAGAAACTATGTGATCCATGATGGTGGTTTAGTTTCAAGGCAACTAAATCATGCCACATTGTAAAAACGAAAATAACATAAAGAAAACCAGAGGCATAGCTTGAGTGTTTGGCGCCGGGGGACAAGATTCATTTTAAAGTGCCTTTCTTTTTTCAACTCTCAAACCCATTATTTTCATCAATAGAATAATATCAAAGCACATTTTGGTGCCCCTAACTAGTCTGGCGCCCAGGGAATCTGTCCCCCCTCTGCCCACTCCTTAGCTACACCTCTGCAGAGAACCATTTACAGTGAAATAAGACTATGGGTGTAACCCATACCCAGTTGCCAGGAATAGCCAGAAACACTTTTTTCCAATTACTGGGTATAATAAGTGTACGGGTGTGCTAAACCCAGTCACTAAGAGACAGGGTATACAATATGTTGAGGTGGATGGGTTAAAAATGGTGAATAAGGAATAAAAAAAAAAAAAAAAAGAAATTTTTTGTACAAACATAAATTATAGACTGAAATGCAAGAAACACTTTTTTACAATTACTGGGTATAATAAGTGTACGGGTGGGCTAAACCCAGTCACAAAGAGACAGGGTATACAATATGTTGAGGTGGATGGGTTAAAAATGGTGAATAAGGAATAAAAAAAAAAAAAAAAGTAATTTTTTGTACAAACATAAATTATAGACTGAAATGCTGAGGGTAACCCATGTCATCAAAGTCAAAAACAATTTATTAATTACTAGGCGCATGAGGAAATAAAAGGGAGGTTTGGTAAGATGAGAAGTTTGGGAGGTATTTTGGCTAACACTTATATATCCAAGAGAGTCCTAGAAATTTAACATATTGGTGTGTCTATATACCATTGGTGAGTGGCTGTATGTCCATCAAAAATTTATTCAAGGTCTTGCGTATTATTTTTTATATATGATCTTATAGAGATACAAAGTATGAGTGTAAAATCTATAATTGCTACACTACCATTACCAAGTAATTTATAAGCTACAATTCGGTTAATGGGGAGATATGAAGAGCTGATTTTCAAATACTGTATATCCATTTTTGGGGTTTTGAGATTATTCAACTTTTTACTAAAAATTACATACTGTGTTTAGAGAATGAAATCATTTTTAGACAAGAATAAAATAGGAATGTAATGTTTTTTGTAAATAAACTTCACCATGTCCTAAAGGAACCTGGTTTGCTCTACAAAAAGGTAAGGTTTTTTTATTTTGCTTTTTCAAAAATGGTGGCTACCGCATTTTGAGAATAAGCTCTTCGTATATCTTTCATGTTCTTTGTAGAACCTGGTGCCAGAAACAGAAAATAATTTAATGTTTAATTTTTTTTTATACACCTCTATTTGATAGTACTTAAAACTTAAATTACTGGTACCTTTTTTAAAAAAGTAAGAAATAAGTGAGTAAGAATTATTTAAAAAAAGAAATTAAAAACCATAAATTATTAATTTATCACCCATCTGTCTTTATTGTTGTTTTCATTATAGCTTAATACAAGTTTCAAGAATGTCACAGTATCATCCTAAATATGTCGACCCAATCATAAACAAAGATGAACTTGCTGAAGGAATACCTGAAAATGACATAAGAAGACACAGACCCATCAAAGCACCCACCACCGATAGGTCAATTTCACCACTCTTTTATGACCCAACTGTTAAGTAAGTGTTCATTTTTTTAATTGTGTCGAAATACTTTCAATTTCAAGTGTCTGAATGTACTTTTAATTTCAGGAGCACCAGAGTATTTTATTTAGCGTACTTTGTGATGAAGACCAATAAATTATTAGTTTAAAAAGGATGTCTGATTTACATCTCTTAAAATGATTTTTTTTTTTTTTTTGTATTCTCTTAAGCAAATTCACAGTTATGATGATGAAAGGTGGAAACAAGGAGCGAGTACGCGAAATTATGCGAGGGGTAATCTGCCTGTTAATTAACATTTGCCTGTCATGATAGATTTCACTGGAAAGTGCTATTTTAAGTTTTAATCATTTTTTTTCTTAAAAGTTACAGATAATTAATTTCATTAATAATGGTACAACAAGATATTTAAATAGATATAATCTCTCTATTGAAAAAATATTGCCATTATTCTTTTCATAGCTGTTTGAGAATTTGAAGCATACCCAAATTGAGCTTTGGAACAAGGCTAAAACAGATCAAGAGAGGCATGCTATTGAATGCAATCCTATCGAAATATTCAAAAAAGCTATAGAAAACTGTGAACCTTTGCTAATGATAAAACGTGTTGTTAAAGGAGGTGTTCCATACCGGGTGTGTATTCAATATCTTCTACCATAGTACTTTTGATGTTTTAAACATTTTTTAACCCAGCACATTATGGTTTTCTCAATTGTTACTCTAAGAATTGGGAAAATATCTTATCTTAAAAAATTAACGAATTTTACCATTGCTAACACTTTTAATTCATATTATTATATTATATCATCCTCATGTCCCATAGTCCTTGGACCATTGGGGCGCCACAGATGACATGTGAACCATCCTCCTCCATTCATCTCTGTCTTCGGTACTACGCACAGCATCGCCTAGTTTTATTCCCTTCCACTCTTTGATGTTATCTTCCCATCTTTTTCTTTGTCTTCCTCTTCTTCTCCCTCCTCCTGTGGTGCCCTGCATGATTTCTTTAGCGAGCCCTTGTTTCCTTGTCACGTGGCCATACCATTGTAATTTGCGCTTTTTTACAATCACCAGGAGGTCATCATACTGCCAAATTGCTTGACGTGCCTTTTCTTTCACTTGATCATTGGAGATATGGTCCCTATAGCTGATGCCAAAAATTCTTCGGAAACATCTCAACTCTATCACCTTTATTTTCCTTTCAAGTTCTGCTGTTAAAGTCCAGGATTCGCAGGCATACAGAAAAATGGAGAGAACCAATGAGCGCATCAGCCTGATTTTGGTGCTGGGGGCTATATTTTTGCCATTCCATATTTTCTTGAGCCTCTTTAGTGCTGTTGTGGTCTGGGCGATCCTGGACATCAGTTCGGGCTTGGAGCCTTCTTCAGAGACTATTGCTCCTAGGTATTTGAAGCTGCCTACAGTCTCTAGTCTTTCCTCCCCAACCTTAATTTCAGTGGCGATGCTGGTGTTGTTATTTGTCATCATTTTTGTCTTTTTGGCACTGATTTGCATGCCATAGGACGATGAAGTCTTGTCGAGACGCTTTACTAGGTTGGCTAGCTCTTCTTCGTTCCCAGCCAGTTCATCTATGTCATCTGCAAAGCTTAGTTTGGTGATTGTTCTGCCACCAATGCTGACTGTCCCTTCATGCGCTTCCATAGCATCTGACATAATTCTCTCTAGGAATCTAGGAAGATGTTGAACAGGGTGGGAAAGAGCAAGCAGCCTTGTCGTACTCCAACGGTGGTCTTGAACCATCCTCCGGTGTTTTTGTTGAAGAAGACTGCGCTGGTGGCCTTATCATAGGCATATCATTCTGGTTAGGTTTGTGTGTTGATGTTGTAGTGCCTCATGGTGGCCCATAAAGCAACATTCCAAACCCTGTCGAATGCTTTCTTGAAATCCACAAAGACGTGGTAAAGGTTTTGTTGGTTTTGAGTATATTTCTCACATATTATTCAGAGGTTTAGGATCTGCTCAGTAGTGCCACGTCCTTGCCTGAAGCTCACCTGTTCATATGGCATATGGTCTTAGTCTGTTCAATATGACCTTCAGCATGACCTTGCTTGGATGGCTTATTAGGCTAATGGTGCAATAGTTTGGGCATAGCTGTAGGTTACCTTTTTTTTGGGGAGGGTGATGATGAGCGATTGGGTCCATGGTTTGGGCCATGCCCTGTCAGCCATATTTTGTTAGAAATATTGAAAAGGGCACTTATCTTCTTCTTCTTCTTCTATATCTTAAGGGCCCACGATCAATTTATTGATCATTTTGGCTCCTATGCATGTAGATGGGATTTGCAATGTTTCTGTTCCTGGTGTTGATGAGGAAATTTCACAGATTTCCAGTGCCACTTTGTGAGGGAATCATGCACTGGGGGTTTGAAGGCTTGAGGCAATAGACACAAATGTGTCTAGTGTTGTCGCCTCAACCGTTCCTTTTGAAAGATTGTTCCAGTCCCTGATTGTCTTGGGCAGGAATGAGCAGCTCCTATACTGGCTTCTTGCTGGTATGAGCCTGAATTGCCTGTCATGGCCTCGTCGCTGTCTATGGGGGAGAGGTACGAGTTTCTGTTTAATACTGGAACAGTGGACCAGCCCATTATTTATCTTGTACATCATGGAGAGCCTGGATTGTCGTCGTCGTTTCTCCAATGGTGACCAGCCTAGTGTTTCTAGCATGCTGCCAACACTTGAGGTATTCCTGTAGCGGTTTAGGACAAAGCGTGCTGCTCGTCGCTGGACCGCCTCCAACCTGTCAATGCTCTTCTGGGTAAATGGGTCCCAGACTGAAGATGCATAATCTAAAATCGGACGGATAAAGGCTTTATATGCTCTTTCTTTCACACAGGAGTTGCCAATCTTTAGATTTCGCCTTAAGAACCCTAGGGTCTTATCATTGCTTCTCCTCATATTAAATACTGTACCATATATCCTTGACGTTTTTGTTTGGCAGGATTTATAATGAATTCTTTTAAAAGTAAAGGCTTTAGGTTTGATATCAAGGAATGAGTGTGGCGCTCTTTAATTAGAAGGAAAAGCAATTTTCTTATCCAAAATGAGTAGACTTCTCAACACTGAATAGATCACAGGGGCTTGTTCATGGAGAACTTCCACAAAAAATGTGCACCTGAAGTATTAAGTAAGATCCTTGTCCGCATTTTAACAACCCCACTGCAGAAATCCTTTAGGAATGCCCCCATATTGGAATGGGTTAATACAATATACAAGTCATAGAATAAATTTCAATGTAGAAATTTTAATGGTTTATATTTCTTTATTTCTGATCTGTTGAGAGCTGAATATTTTTTTTTAACCCTGTTGTCACAATCAATAAACTATTATACCATTTTGAATAACTCAAGGTTCCTGTGTGTGCCAGACCAAATGAAAAAACGTTTCGAGCTATGAAATGGATAATTGAAAGTTGTCGAGACAAGGAAAGAAGGTTACCAATGGAAAATAAATTGGCCTGGGAAATTATGGATGCTTACAATAACCAGGTACGGTAATTCAACTGATACATTGCTACTTTACATGTTATTTGTTAATTAAGCACTAAATATTTCAAAAAGACAAATTATTAAAATTATTTTAACAACTACTTACTGAGTCTCATTATTCTTTTTAAAAATGTAAATTATATAAGGTACTGGTACACACAATACATCTATAGGCATGTATGGATTAAATAAACTGTTTCTGACAACCCATTATAAAAATTGCTACAGTAATAAATATGGTTAAGTTTGTATATAGATATACTTAATAGTAATAGTACTAATAGCAAGGCTTTTAAAACCAACTGAATATTTCAGCATATACATGTACTGGTAAAGACTATGAATATGACTGTTAATATTTTCTAGCAATAGGTGATTTATATTTATTATGATTTATGTTGTTTTTTTCAATAGGGGAAGGCTGTGAGAAAAAAGCAGGAAGTCCACAAAATCTGTGAAAGCAACAGAGCTTATGCTCATCTGAGATAAAAACAAACTTTATCAAGAATGTTATTATATTATATGCTGGCGAATGATGAATTTTTATGTGAGAGAATAAAAAAAATATATATATTCTAAAAATATACTTTGGTATCTGTTGTTAATGTTTTTTCAGTAACTAATTGAATTAATGTACAGTACCATTTGTTAAAAGATATTTGTGTACTTTGTGTTACCATTGTTTGGAAATGATGTGATTTCAAATAAATTTATTGACCGATTAGTATCTGTTATTCAAAACAGCCAAGTGCCAGAATCATGCATATTTTTTAATTTTATGAAGCAAGGACACAAACAAAAGCAAAACGGAACACGATTTTTTTTTTTTAGAAATATCTTTAATCTGTAAATACTGTAATAATTTAATTCATAACATTTTCTTTAAAACATGTGAATGTGATTTTTAAATATACTAATATTTACAGGTCTCTTACTCACTAAAAATGAAAAAATATTCATAAACATTTTCATACATTCAAAAAAAATTGAGAATACATACATTATCTCTATGCAAACTTTTTTCATATTAAAACTCTCTTCTCAACTATTCTATTCTTTTACCACTAATTTCGGACAGATCACTATCCATGTATCATAATCATAAGCTAAAAAAAACTAATTACCGGTACCAAAAAATAAAGAGAGAAAAAGACTTTCAAACCTGAAACCATCTTTTATACTGAGCATTTTAAACGTTTATAATTTTTATCAGTTTTTATCAACAAAAATTCATTTTGATTTATCAAGAATTCTTTTTTTTTAACACTTGTATTAAGTTGTAAGTACAATATTTTGATGACATGCAAGAAATTAAGGTCAAATGGGACTTTTATTCAAACTGTAATTCTTTATTTTTAAAATGTATCAAATGTATACAGTAGATCTCATCTATCACAGTTTCAATTTCAGACAAATTATGTGACGATCTTTTAACAATCCTGGTACGGTATTTAAAATAAATTATAGAAAACTAAACTGATGGCTCAGAAGCAGATGTCAAATGGAAGTGGTTATAACCATCTCACAAAAGCAACAAGTGTAATATGGGGAGGACTGCATTAACTATTAAATGGGGAGAACTGCATTAAATTTTAACCAAAACAGTACAGTATTACACCAGCACCTGACTTCTGCCATTTAATACTCAAAGCATGGCTGAGATTAGTTTCGTTAAATTAACTTTAATAATAATTCTCCATTTACAATTTCAAAAATTTTGGCTGAGTTGGAGCAGAGCTGTGTCACTTAATAAAAAAAAATATTGTGGTTTACTGATGTTCTGTTACCTTAGGAATTTAGAAACTGTTCTGGAAAGAGTTTTTGAGTTACCTGGATGATACTCCTTTTCATTTATTATTTCTGTGACTTTTTCATTCCACCTTCCATACATTTTCTAAATTCTGTCACTTCATTTTGGCACAGTCTCCAGTCACGTTTTTCTCCAATGCATTCTTGGACGGCATAATGTAGTTTGAGGCAACCAGTTTTATTGATCATTGCATCAACTGGATCTTCTTCCTCTAAATCTTTTGGACTACTAGATCTCTTGTGACCCATATGTGATGCCATTACTCTTCTCCGTTTTATTAAAAACTGAAATATGAAGAAAAATATTTTTTGATACTGTATATAACAATTAATAACATGTACATTTGTATCATATTTTATTGTTATCCCTAAAAAAAACTAATTTTTTAAATTATAATTATATTTTGATGTTACTGCAATTACATTAAATAAAGGATGATACATGATATTCCATCCCTACTTAATTTTAATCACCAATTTCCCAAATTAGGGAAAATTAAGGGTATGACAAACTGAATATGACATTTAATATACCGTTACCGGTAGAGTACTAGTTACAAAATATCCAACATGAAGTATGAAGCACAAAAACTGCAGTCATAAAAAATATGATCCCCTAAATATCATTTACTCAAAATGATGCCAATATCCCCATGCAAAAGACCCTTGAACTTAAGGTCTAACTTGTATCCCAAACTCCACTATGTTTATTTATATATTAATATTTATAGATTAAGTAAGTATCTGTGACTTATGCTTATGGCCTGAATGGAGGATTAGTCAATTAGGTGTCCTCCGAACCGTAGATATTCCATTCTCAAAAATATCTGATAGCATTGACACTAGCTTTAAGTTTAAGACCACAACCCCAGTACTATCTCAAGTGTTTGTGGGTTTTTTGTCTTTAACTATAATATAATTCAAACAACATAACATTAGGCAAGGCTAATTTAAGCCTATTTTATTATTATTCATACTATTAATATATATTTCAACATCTGTAAGCCTCAATGCCATTGGTGAGTTGGACCGGAAATAGTAGTAGTAGCTATGCATAGCATCTGCTACTGACACAGTACATAGCAATGGATTCATCGATAAAAAAGACAAGTACCGAACTGTCAAACAGTGATATAAATTATTTAAAAAATCGAAGTAAGAAATATGGTAACCATTAATATTTACAGAGTTTATATATGTGGGTAGGTCATCCACATTAATTGTATGTATGGCATCTTTCCGTCTGCGGGAGACGATAGATTATCTTTATTGCTTGCATCTCTTGGTGTGGCTGGTGAGACCAATCCTCGAATGACAGTCTCTGTTACATTTCCCACACACGAATGCGGTGGAGCAGTATTTACCGGCCTTCCTCCTCGCTCTTTTTGCAGCTGTTTCCGCCCTGTTTTGATCCTCGGCATGTAGTGATCCTGCCTTCACGATGCCCCGCCATGAGGATCGATCCTCTGCCAACTCCTCCCAGTTTGAGATGTCGATGGTTGGGGACTTTGTCTTGCCATTTAATGTAATTAATGGAAAGAAAAAAGGCAAATATTCTATCTTCTCCTCCACTTCATACTTTTTTGGACACCCCTATGCGTAAGTAAACAGCTTACGGCCTAACCCCTAAAAAATCTCTTATTTATAGGTGGCAATTTCTTCTGCATGTTGAGGGGTAGCATTATCAGGATTCACCCTGGACGCCGCTTTCCCACGGCCCTGCTCTAGGTTGCCCCAGCTTCCTCATAGGGGTATCGTGAAAATATTACATGTGACAACAGTAACTCATTTGAGTAGCAGTAACTGTTTTGAGTACCGTACTAGACAACAATTGGTAGTGGCATAAATATGGTAAATATTTTTACCCAACCCTTTACTTTATTTTCTTTAATTTATCTGCTATTTAGAAATAGTAATACAGTATTTGTTAGAATTTAACACTGGGCACCGGGTGAAGAAATAAATTTGGCCAAAACACCAAGACTTTAGAAACCACTGGCTTAGTGTAACAAAATATGTCACACACATGGGAAATATACAGTGGACTAGATATTGCAGCTCTTCTTTTCTTCTATATCTTAAGGGCCCACGATCAATTTATTGATCATTTTGGCTCCTATGCATGTAGATGGGATTTGCAATGTTTCTGTTACTGGTGGTGATGAGGAAATTATGCACTAGGGGTTTGAAGGCTTGAGGCAATAGACACAAATGTGTCTAGTGTTGTCGCCTCAACTGTTCCTTTTGAAAGATGGTTCCAGTCCCTTATTGTCTTGGGCAGGAATGAGCAGCTCCTATACTGGCTTCTTGCTGGTATGAGCCTGAATTGCCTGTCATGGCCTCGTCGCTGTCTATGGGGGAGAGGGACGAGTTTCTGTTTAATACTGGAACAGTGGACCAGCCCATTATTTATCTTGTACATCATGGAGAGCCTGGATTGTCGTCGTCGTTTCTCCAATGGTGACCAGCCTAGTGTTTCTAGCATGCTGCCAACACTAGAGGTATTCCTGTAGCGGTTTAGGACAAAGCGTGCTGCTCGTCGCTGGACCGCCTCCAACCTGTCAATGCTCTTCTGGGTAAATGGGTCCCAGACTGAAGATGCATAATCTAAAATCGGACGGATAAAGGCTTTATATGCTCTTTCTTTCACACAGGAGTTGCCAATCTTTAGATTTCGCCTTAAGAACCCCAAGGCTTGGTTTGCTTGGTTACATACATTGTTAATATGCTCGTCCCAGCGGACCTCTCTTTGAATGGTAACACCCAGGTACTTTACGGAGGAAACTTGCTCAAGAATATGGCCGTGCAGTTTGTATTGGTAGTGTAGAGGAGTACAACTTCTAGAGATTGATAGTGTCTGGCACTTGGCAGGGTGAAATTCCATGTCCCAGCTCATCTCCCACTCAGCTAACAGATTGAGATCCTGTTGTAGCTGGTCCTGGTCAGATCTGTTGGCGATCGTCCTATACACTGCTGTGTCATCTGCAAACAGTCTTGCCTGTGATGTCAGTTTCTCCGGTAGGTCATTAATGTATGCTAGGAACAAACAGGGGCCCAGGACTGATCCCTGGGGGACCCCTGACTTCACATTGACAAAGGAGGAGCTTGTACCGCCCACCACTACTGCTTGGCGTCGGTGGCTGAGGAAGCTAGAGATCCATGTTTTAGTGGTGCCTTGAATCCCATATATCTGGAGTTTGTGTAGAAGCAAACTATGATTCACCCGGTCAAATGCTTTTGCGAAGTCCATTACTAGCACGTCAGTCTGCTTGTGGTTCTCCAGATTGGTCATCAAGTCTTCTACAAATTCGAGAAGCTGGGTCTCACATGACCTATTGACTCGGAAGCCATGTTGACAGTCATTGAGTATATTTTGGCTTTCAAGATGCTTCATGACAGAGCTTACGATTATGTGCTCCAACAGTTTGCAGACGACGCTAGTGAGGGATATCGGACGATAGTTGGCAGGGTCGGAATGCTCCCCTTTCTTGTAAATTGGAGTGACATGCGCTGTTCTCCAGTCTGCTGGAACATTTCCTGTGCATAGTGACGATTGGAAGAGGATTGTCAGTGCAGGAGCGATTTCTTTGGCTAATTCTTTGAGCACTCGTGGTTTAATGTTGTCAGGACCACATGCTTTGTAAGGGTTAATGGTATTGAGGAGGGCAAACACACCTTGTTCTGATATCTGGATATCTCCCATGATAGGGTAGGCTCTGTTCATCATTTTGGTCTTCAGAAGGAACTCAGTCTCAGAGTACTCTCTACCGTCACCAAAGACCGACTGGAACTGCTGATTGAGTATCTCCGCCTGTGCTTTTGGGTCAGATGTCAATTGGCCATCCCACCTCAAGGGGGAAACTCCAGCGTTTGAGGACTTTTGGTGTTTCACATAGCTCCAGAAGCGCTTGTTCTTGACATCTTTGGTCGGGGTGTCTTCCTCTGAGAAGATGCCGTTCATGTAGTTCCAATACGATCTACGCAATAAGCGTTGAATGGTTCGGCGGAGTCTCAGTACCTCCTCTCTCAGTTCCATCGAGCCATTTTTCTTCATGCGTTTGTATTGGCGGTCTCTCCTGTGGATGAGCCTACGGATTTCAGCCGTGACCCATGGCTGATTTATCCTAGGTTTGGTGATTTGGTGTGGTATAAATTTCTTCACTGCATCAGTGATTGTAGTCTTGAACTTCACCCACAGCTCGTCTGTTGTCGCTGTACCTTGAATCACCTTCATGTTTGAGCTTAGCTCTGTGGTTGCAATCCTTAGGCCATCCCAGTCTGCCTTGGCATAAATTGGGATTTCTCGAATGATTTGTTTCATTTTTAGTGTGTTGACCTGAAATTCACAATAAGGAATGTTGTGGTCCGAAATCCCGGGGATGACCTCAACTTTTTGGACACGATGTGGACAATTGGTGAGGAGTAGGTCAAGAGTGTTTTCCCCCCTCGTTGGTTCTTTAACCAGCTGTTCCAGACCATGGTTGTTAATTATCTCCATGAATTCTGAGTGTAGAACAGGGTATGGGGACTTGGGCTTCAAGGCAGGAATCTGCCAATTCCAACCAGGAAAGTTAAAATCCCCCCCTATAAGGAGAAAAGCGTTTTTTGACTGTGTTGCTCTGTGAAGCGATACCTCGAACCTCCTCAGGCTTGGTTCATCTGCTGTGTTTGGTCGGTAATAGGCACAAACGTAAAGTGTGCGTCTACCCTTTAGTTTCAATTTTACCCACAGGATCTCGCAGTCGTCAACATCGAGTTCTGGAACAGCGTGGCAGTCCAAGTTATGATGGACTGCAACAAGCACTCCTCCTCCTCTGCTTAATAGGCATACTATTTTATTAGGACTAAAAGTCAATTTACACAATCTGCGTCACTTTGAGTTTCTGTTATTTATTCTTGGCTTGTTACTAAAGTTAACATTTCTTTTTTTTTAAAAATATTAGTACACCGATGGAATTATTAAATTATAATTTCATTGCGTGATTAATTATGATATTTAAATTATCAGGAATTTCGGAAAATGGGTATAGTATTGTATTGATTTTCTGACAACTTTTGGATTTTCTTTCTGGTGGAACCTGCAATAAAGTATGTAAAAGTGTATCTATGAAAGTGTCAATTGGATTTTCATCACCTATTTTAAAAAATTATTTGTTTGTTTTTCTTAATTTGTGCACTTTTCTTACCACAGTGTGTAACTGAGCACACATGTTTTAGTTAAGGGAAGGAGGCAACCCCATGTTGTTGACACTTCTTGCGCATATCTAGAGTCCAGAGGGATAAAATAAACTAATACTAATGTGAAATTAATGTAGTGGCAGAAATTACAGTATTTATTGGCATGTAACACACACTTTTTATCCCTGAAAATGGGGGGCAAATGATGAGTGCGTGTTATACGCTGATATAATGTTTAGTTTTTTTTCTGAAATTTCCTTCTTAAATTGAGGTGCGTGTTATACGCAGGGGTTATGCACCAATAAGTATTTAATTAAATATTATTGCTTTTCTTCCTATTTTCATTTCTCTCTGTGATTAGCTAAAACACTGTAAAACAGCACTACCTCTCTTTCCCCTCCTCATTTTAGCAGATTTGTGTTTGCACTACTTTTTTTTACATGGACGCTTTCTTGATGTCTGGGATTAGTAAATTTACCAGACTAATAATTAGTATAATAAATAAGATATTATAAATACATGTTACATACCCAATTTATAGTGAGTTTACTTTTGAAAACACAACATTATTCATTATTGAATTATTTTTATTGATGTGATAACAGTTTCAGTCATCAAAATAACTGGTACAAAAAATTTTAGTTACACTACACTTGCATGGGCATTTTAAGTTATAAATTTTTTAGTAAGGACCTCAAAACCCCTTTTTCACTATGGGATTTTCCTCCACATTTCGTCACCCTCATATTGCTATTGTTTGTATGCCTATAACTTTGTTATAAAATGAGACAAAAATATGATATTTTGAGGGAACACAGTTAAATATGAGTTCTTCTAAATAAAGCCACAAAATACAATTTTAGTTTTTGTTAATATTCCGCAAAAAAATATTTTTAATCTTGATAATTTTCCTTATGAAAATGAATAAAATATGCTGACTCGTCACTTACTTGTATTTAATTAATTAATATTTTTTAAATATAAATGTTTAAAATTTCCCTAATTTAATAATAATAATAATATTCTTTAGATATTAATTTCAAATTTTCTGTGGAATTGTTTAACTTTTATCAGTATAAACAAATAATACAGGGATTATTTGATTCATTTACATAAAATTGACGATTATACTTTTTATTTTACCATTTTCTATGTATGTATTTTAGTCCCATTTGAATATGACCAAAAAATTAGTAATTTTGTTTCACAAATCAACATGTATTAACTTTGGCTGTTGATAGAAATTAAAATAAGTTCTAAGTCATTTGCTTGAGGTAAGTACAAGCTTTTATGATTGTTCTTTAGTAAAAGCTTAAGAAATTCTTGGATTACTGTATCAGAAAGTGTGTTATTTCTTTAAGTAAGAATACTGAGGATTATATAAGTTTCTTGTGGAATATTGTGATTTGTGAGTGAATTCAGGATATTTCAATATCAAAGGTAAGTGAATTTTTTTTTTAAACATTTTTATTTTAAAATTTAAGAATCATGATTTGCATTAAATAATAAAATATGATTACATGGCCTAAAATATCATTAACTATAATAGATAATTGTTTATTAATAGGTCTTGCAATAATAAGTTGGGATTGTACTAGACCTATAGGCTATACTATACTAGGCTTATAGGATGGATGGATATATATAAATATATATAAATATATATATTTAATTATTTATTCTATTAGTTATCATAAAATAAGGATAGGGCCAGGGCTATTTATCCCACTTCCCCACTCAAAATAAAAGCATCAGATTAAAGTAATTAGAGCATTAAATTGTTGCTTTGTTTTAAAATATTATTAGTGGGTAATATGCTGGATTTCCAGTGTAAATCAAGCTACTTACTACAAAAACGTTCATTATCCATAATAGGTAATTTTGGGACACATGTGACAAAAATTTCTCACCCATGCACTGGTCCTAACCTCACGAATTTTGGATATGTTGTTAATTATGCCTTCATCTAATATTGGTATTTTCTTTTTTTAAACTTATATTTTCCACACAAAAAATATGAATAAGTCAAATTAGCTATTATTTACCATTAATTTTCAAAGTCAAACCATCAAATTTTTTCTAAAAGGAAAGTGAAAGTGTCAAATGAACAAGAAACATGCCTGCTTTAAGTTTAGGGCAGAAGTAGAATTTATTAAAAAAAACTAACTTTAGCAAAAATAATCGTAAACAACACTACCTTCGGTAAATTAAAAAGTGGAGGTCGCCATTTTGACAAGGAAATCACGATACCCGGTTTTCGGCACTTCCCGGATCATACCGAGGTCCCTACAATAATCTATAACAATAAATAACAAAATAAATAATAAACAAAATAATTAAAATGTTATTATTGTTAGTTATAGATTATTGGAATTTCCAAATTTCATGAAAATTATTGCAGAATCTGATAAATATGGTAATTACTTTCTGCTCAAACCTGGTGGATTTAAAACAGTTGCCAAAGATTTCTTAAATTTAAATCTACAACGACGAACGGTTTCAACTATACAAAATGAATGGAGGCTGCCATATTTAATGTAAAAAAAGTCTTCACTTCCGGTGCCGGTAACTCGTGGAATAACCAAACTTTTATTATCCGACAATTGAAATTACAGGATAAACATTCCTTGACTTTCAATCAACATTAGTGTTCAAATTATCATTTAAAAAATCACCAAAATTTCCTTATAGTAACGGTTTTCCATAATACGTATCAAATTCTTTTGTTTCAAAAGAAGAAAAATATTTAAATTTGAATAAAAGGGAATGTACCCAAGAAATACATTCAAGTAATGAAACCTAATGAAAGAAATCAGCAATGGCTTGTTCGCCTTAACTAAGTTGTAAAGGAAAATACATTAAACAACCCTTAAAAATATTTTTTTTAAAAATAAATCCTTCATAAAATGAAACATCGGGCAATGGGGTCACGGCTGAAAACTCGACACATCATGCTTACAAGTAAAGCACTTTTTTTTTTCACGCCACTGATCCATATTACGATCGTCTATTCTGATGACCAACCCGCTTTGACACCGCAGATTTATTTCTAAAAATATTTCAGAGTCTGAAAATTGGATCGAATTCGTTGTCATCAACAACGGGTCTATGTGCCAAGTTTCAGTTCGATAGGTTGACGGGAAGTGGGTAGATTAGCCGTCGGAAGATTTTGCCCCAAACACACAAAAGCGAAGTTAATAAAAAGGATTTTTTTTTTTTAAATATCAAACTTTTCAATTGGAAAACCCTTGCGAATATGCGATATTTATAAGTTATTAGGCATGCGCAAATTTAGGCTATTTGAGAATCAAGGGGAAATAGTGCGAATGGTTGGGGGTAACATTTATGAGGTTAAAATTATATGTACTGTACTAATTATATGACTAAAAGTCAATGCAGTGCCGAGAGGGAAGGGGATGTTTAGGGAGGTATCTGCACCTGGTGGCACTTTTTTCTTCATATAGAGGGGTGGCATTTTCTGAAAACTGCAGAGCTTTTTTTTCGTGGAAGGGGGTGGGAAAAGTATTGACATGCCACGGATAGCACTTACCCTAGCTACGCCAATGTGTCCATGTTGATTTTCTACAAATCATTTATAAACCATTAAAGTTTCTAATTTTTTAAAAACAAATTTACACAACTCTGAGAATATTCAACATCCATCCTTTTCAATCAAAGGCCGATCCCATATTATCTGCGGCCAGGTAGTGGTTCTTAAAATATAGGATATAGGCAACTGCAATATTGTATGCGTGATAAATTATCCTCTTGACTTGAGAAATGAGATATTCATATACACACTAGTTTTGAACAAAAGAAATTCTGATAGGCCTACACCTAAAAAGTCACACATGAGGGGAATGCGTGAAAATAAAATACATTGTATTTCCAGGTCGGCAGTGTGTTGGGGTTAGTTTTAAGTGCATTGTGGTTTTTAAAATCATTAAATAAATTTACTTATTGTATGGCACAATAACTTTATCAATATATATGCAGGCTAATACAGGGATGGTAGCCTATAAGTAGACAGTAAAAAAAAATTGGTATTAGATTTTAAATTTTGACAAAATTGTTTAAAAAACTCCAACGGTAATATATTCGTTAAAAGCCACCCAACGACTTTCTATTATTTTCTGTACTCATTGACTAGAACAAGGTTGTGGGGGGGGGGGGGGGGGAAGGGGGGGGGGGAGAAAGGGGGGGAGCACATGCGGTCTGCGGATAACTGATGCCTCACAAATAAATATTTTTAAAAACATATTCGGATATTCGTTGTGCGCCCTAATGACAAAGGAATCGGTTTTAAAAATAAAAAGATAAGCGAGAGAAAAAAAAAATGACTGGATGCTACAAATGAATACGCTGAATTTTTTTAATTTTCATTTTATTTCATTTTTATTTATTTATTTTTTTTTGTGTAGTTTGTAATTTGCAATTTTTGTAAACAAACAAAACGATGTTTGAATTAATCGAAGAGGGGAGCAGCTTTTAACTTTTGGACTGCTTGGAATTAGTTTTAAAAAATCTGGCAAAATATAATTAATCGGCAACAAAACTTAAGGATAATAAACCCACATTTTCTACACTGTGTCTATTCTTTTTATGATTTAACGTAATTTTCTTTTCTTTAAAAATATTTTTTTTGTTTTACTATAGACTATAGAGATCTAGTATGGTGCGTTCAAAAAGAAATTTGACGAAAATTGAATTGTGAATAATAATAATTTTTGCGGTGAATTAAAATTGAAGTACCGAAAATTGTAACGTGTGGACTGGAAAAAAAAAGACTCGACCAAATTTCTGTTCGATCAAATTTCCGTCAATCAATTTACTGTCGACGAAATTTCTTTCGATCAAATTTCTGGTAACCATTTTTAACTGGCCTAATTTTGTAATAACGAAAACGGAACAAATCGTCTGCATAATTTGGTTATCGAAAATGACTGGGGCTGATATGCGCTTCGATAAATTCTCAGCAGGTATTCGCCTTTTATTATATTATCCGTTATAAATAAATCCTGGCTACTTATAACTTATGAAATTGAGCGTGGGTGTGGCTGAAAAAAATGTGTGTAATTTTAGGGGGGGGGGGTTATTTCAACGCTCTATCATGGAATGGGAGTGTGCATTCGTATTTATACTAAATCCACATCTACGTGACGTCATACTTTGGTTACTCCTCTTCACCGCCTTGTAGCAGCGTAGTTACTCTCAGCGTAGCTATATTTTTTTTATTTGATCCCCAATCTATCCCATAATGCTTTCTGCTAGCCACAGAGTTGTATGGCCTTCTTAAGTTATTGCTTGTGCGTCATTCGTCGTCAGCAATGAGTCTACAGACTCAAATATCACCTACGTGACACGCCTTGAACAATTAAACGCATTTTAAAAAAAAACTATTTATTATTGATTGGAACTATTCAAGCTTGCCCTATACCCCAAAGTCCGTCCAAAGCAGGGGTTCTCAGCATTTTTTGTCTTCAGTGCCGCACCCCCTTTTGATTTAAAAAAAAAAAATTCTCACGCGCCCATTCGCTTTCTAAACGTATCCCCCCACCCACCCACCCCAAACTCCAAATATTAAAAAAAATAATAATAATAATTCAAATAAACATGATTTTCTGGGTCTTCCCGCACCCCCAGTAACCACTGGTTGAGAACCCCTGGCCTAATAGGTAAATGCACACCATTACGTTCTACTGCTGTACACTTATTATGACTACTTCCAATAAAGCCCCCCCCCCCAACACGAACTGCCCGTTTGTATCGTGATGAAAAGGAGAATAGGGGCGTCGCCCCGCTCGTGTGAATAGAGGGGGTTAGGCAAGCGGCGATACAAGGCACTNGGGCGGGGGGGGGGGGGGAGAGGGAGTGTTAGAGCGACAGATAGTGAGAGAGAGGGCTACGGACGTGAAAGGCTTCACGTCATTCATTACCCGATGTCACATACGTCTGCTGTTGTCAGGTAATGCAAATTGTTTTTACGGCACGATACGTCTTAGTTTCACTGTTGTTACACATCTAGAATAAAATGTGTCTAAGTTTCCTCAAGCTTAAATACCATCCCCGAAAGCTTGAATAGTTCGTTAGGTGCTTTTTACGGATATGTTACGCTTGGACTTTCAGAAGATAGTGAGTACCGAGTTGAAAACTGTTTACCTTCTGTGACTAGCATGCCAACTACCACGTTAATTTGGTGTTGCGATAATTTCGTTTTGTGTTAATTTTGTGTTGTGATAATTTTATGTTGTGATAATTGTACTTGTATGTTGTGATAATTGAATGTTGTGATAATTGTATGTTGTGATAATTGTATGTTGGGATAATGTTGTGTTGTGTTAATTTTGTTTTGCGATAATTTTATGTTGTGATAATTGAAAGTTGTGATAATTGAATGTTGTGATAATTGAATGTTGTGATAATTGAATGTTGTGATAATTGAATGTTGTGATAATTGAATGTTGTGATAATGTTGTGTTGCGTTAATTTTTTTTTTGCGATAATTTTATGTTGTGATAATTGAATGTTGTGATAATTGTATGTTGTGATAATTGAATGTTGTGATAATGTTGTGTCGTGATAATTGTATGTTGTGATAATTTTGTGTTGTGATAATTGTATATTGTGATAATTGTATATTGTGATAATTTTGTGTTGTGATAAATTTACGTTGTGATAATTTGGTGTTGTAAAAATTATCAATATTATCATTAATAATTATCAACGTAAAATGGTTCAATGCATCATGTTAGAATAATGACCATTTGAAAGTCTCCTTTTTTTTTTTTTTTTCATTCTGGAATATGGAAACATCAAGCGAGTTTGTGAATTGCAACAGACCTACACACATACCACATGTGGATTAATTGTGATTGAATGACTTGGTAGCCCCATGATGACATCATGACTTCGACCGCCGTCATTCATTGTTTATCTTATGTGCCTAGATTTTAAATATTTTAAAAAAATAATTAAAAACTTTGTTTAAAAGACTTTATATAAAAAACGAGCAGCAACGCACTAAAAAGAACAAAATAATTAAAATTTTATTAAAATGCATTGCGCTATATATTTTATACTTATATGTATATAATTTCTCTCACCTGGCATTCACAAAGAATAATCACTTAAAAAAAAATATTACGATTGCTTTAACTGCATGAAGACGTTGGTGTTCTCTGATATAAAAAAGTATATTCTACACCATGCATTTTATGGGGGGGGGGGAGGGGGGGGAGGGGGGGAATGTCTTTGAACTACCAACTTCAATCGTTAATTGATCAAAAATAAAATGAA